TAGATGATGTCTATTCAAAGTTGCTGATCCAGAGAGAAAATAAGAGTAGATAAAAGGAGATTTCAAATGACCTCCTCATCCCTTTCACACCAACCTGAGCCCTAGAATAGACTAGGATCAACTAACACAAAAGCCCTTTACTTTCTCCTTTCAGCTTCAGAAGATTTTGTGCAAGGGGTTAACAATAAAACATAGAACTACCCTGAGTTTTGTTAGGTCATGCATTTGGAATACTTTATTAACTCCTCCTGTGGATGAGCTACATGGATTTTCTACCTCTGACATGGGAAAATAAAATATACATATCCTCACATAGAACATAATTATTTACTGTTCTGTATGGTTTATATCAGAGATGTACTGTATTCATTCTTTTTTATTTAAACTTTACCTGAACCTTTACCCCCTCAAACATGTAAGCCACTGTAATAAACATGTCTTTCTACTGACAGTTTGGAAGAAATTGTTAGGTTTCCTATTTTGATCAGTTTTCTGGTAGGTAAACACAATTGTAATAAGAATGCAGTTACTAGATTTGCTGGGCTTTTCCTCCATCACTAGTTTATATTATAGTCAGTGAAGAAAATGGAATTAGAGATTTAAACATATTCAAGCCGTCTTTAGTTAGTGAAATGTCCAACTCAGCTCTACCTCTGATGAGCTAATCCTGTAGTGAGAGAAAGGGGTGCTCTGACAGGTAACTATTAAGGGAAATGATTATATAGTACAGTCGATTGTATTGTCAGGATAGTCTAACAACCTTCAAACTCATTTCAAAACTTCATCTTTTCACTGAAACCAACCCATTTTCTCTGGAAAGACTAGCCGTGCAGTTATTCTTCAGCCAAGTCATGCATTTAAAAATAAAAGAAGGTGTATTGTAACATTAAAAGGCAACCTTTCTTTCTTCCTTTCTTTCTTGCAGTATTTCTTGGGCTATACTTGGATTGTATAAAAGGTACATATTTGACTCTGACTTCACCAATGTTCTGGAAATGGCTGTCTATTTTCCTCTTGGTTTGCATCGAAATGTCAGCTCTTACTTTACCCTCTTGCTGTCCCCACCCCAAAAATTCTCAATCCTGGGCTCTCTAACTGAAACCGCCTGCACACTGGGATGTCTCTCTCATCTTTCCCAAAATATGTTTTATAAATGTCTTGGTTTGAGATAGAACACTAAACAACTTACTAAGGTAAAGTACTTATTTCTGAGCCTTTTTTTTTTCTCAAAGATGACTAAGAAGAAATGCCTGGACTACCAGAGTGACAATGGATATGGAAGCCTAGTATTTCCAAGGCTCATTGAACCCTATGGGCTACTAGATCCATTTCCTCAGGTCAGCCGAAGCCCAAATCCTAGCCTGGACTTGTCACCCTGGCCTTCATGTTGACAGAGGCATAACTTTTTTTTACAATAGGCAGTTATAATGCAGACTACTGTCAGTCTTGGGAATGGGAGGGTAGATTTCTGATCTAGCTGGAACATAATTTATTTACGTATTATTTTAGCTTTAGTAATCCTAAAACATTGGTTGGGCATTCCTGTACCTCTCCCCATTGTTTCCCTCCAAAAGATCTGTTCACTGTCATGTTTATATCATGTCTCTTCCACTGTGCTCTCCCTGACTTTAGCCTCATGCCAAGGGAGACAACTTGATTTGGAAACTTTAAAACAAGCTCTTTGGGAAAGGCCTACATCAGGATCAGAAGCACTGACCTCTCTCGAAGGGTTAGCAAGCACGTTCATCACTCCACATGAGCTTGGTAAAAGGGTTGCTTCTGTCCTATGGTTTCTCTAGACAGAATAATACTGTTTTAATGACTTAAGGGTACGAACATGGTGGACAGGAGAAGTTTCTATACACATGTGCCATTGGACAGTCTCATTGGCTCTTGGGCTAGATTTATGAAATGTCTCTACAAAGCTCTCTTTTTCAGCGTAACTTAACAGAAACCTAAAATGTGTGTGATCTGTGTCTTTCTAGAGAACAAACTGAGAGTGTGAAAGGAGCCAAAGGATTAGAGAAGAGTAGGTTGGCCTATTTACTACCTGGTAAAAAATCTATGGAAGTTATGTGAATGGGGTAAAGAGGCCACTTGGACTCAGGAACTTGGAACACCAGTTCCCACTGTGTAGGTAGCCACAGACTCAGCATCCCTCCCCCTCTACCTGGCACTCACCAGAAAGCTGGCTGGGAAATCAAGGCAAACTGACTAAGACCCAACCATCATGCTAGAAGAGCATAAGGAATGGGTAAATTCACAGCTTAATTCCCTGCCCAAGCAGAGGGCACCTTCTCATTTAATCTAGGTGAATTGCACTGGAGCCCCTGTTTGTTGGACAATTCTCCATAGTCTCTAGGAAAGTAGAAAAAAGCTACAAAAAGAACCCTCTGGATGAGGCCTTCCAGAGGCCTCCCTGCAAGGCCCTTAGAGTCCCCAGACTTGTCTAAGCAGAGGGAGTGACCCCGGGGAAAGCTAAGCACCATGTCCCTGCCCTCGACCCCACACTAGCAAGACCCTTAGGGTGCTGAGGCAAAGTTCACAACGGGTGCCTGTCCAGCAATCACTTTCAAACTCAATTTAACTTTTCCAGGGAGCTGGCTGGCGTGTGGGTGAAAAGAGGGGGAAGAAAGCTGAAAAAGAGAATGGGAGGGAAGCGATGGAAATCGCAACTGCTCTTTCTATTCTAGCATTTCAGCATTTGAGCGTACCTGGGTATGTGTGTGTAATTTCACAGTTTGAGGACTCTGGTGCCCTTGAAAAACTATAAGCATTTTTCTGAGGTGCCCTATTCAGCCACAGATTCTAGGACCAGGGGCGACTGTGGCAAGTTAGACTATTGTCAAACCACGGTGGCTTTAAGAAACAAGGCCAAAAGTTCCCAAACCCTGGGCTGACCAGCAGCGCCTCTACGGAAGCCATTTTAGTGGAGGCTGTACTGTGAGCTGAGCACAAGCGGGACTCGGCGGATGTGTGGCTAATCCAAAGAGCACAGACACTGGAGACGTTGAGTCCTACGTGCTGCTGGACTATACTGTGTCCCAAGGGTGGTCAAGGCCCTCCTCAAAATCTCTGCTTGATGCTAACTCCTCTCAAGAGACTGGGTACACTTGACTCAAAAGAATGCAAGCATTTCCCCCTTTCCAAAAGCTTGAGACTTTGCCTACTATGGGCACCAACAAACAGCCTCCGGTGCCTACTCCTAGATCTAAGGCTGAGAATTGCGACCTCATTCAAGAGGAGCTGGTAGCTTCACCTAAGGCCTGAAGGGGCCGATTTCCTTCACTCTTGAGGGGGAAGTGGGAGTCACTCTGGGTCTCAGAGGCCTTTTGGCGAATTTGGAAGCTTGGGGCAGAGAGGGAACGCGGGAAGAAAAGGCCCACAGTAAGGATCGGTGGGCGACGTCTCTCCTAGTGAGTCTCTGCTAGTCCTTGAGCTTTGTTGCAGGACTTGACCCCCCACTAGCCCTTCTAAGCAGGGCTGATTCATTCAAGAGCCCACCCAGCCCCCAGCCCCGGGACGCGGTACCGAATGTCAGCTCCCCACCCCCACCCCCGCCCGGCGAGCCCGCCCTGCGCGCCCTCTGACGCAAATGCGCGCCCCTGCCGGGCGAAGGTGGGGATAGAGGGAGCGCTCCTGTTGGTTTTAATTGAAGCTCTTCCTTTCACACGCTCAACCTCGGTCCTCACTCCTGGGAGGCGAGCCCCTCCCCGCCCCCAAGCCGCCTGGCCCAGCGTGCGGAGTCTAGCTTTACAACCTCGCTGCTCTGCCGCGGCCGCCGCGGGTTCTTTGCTTGGGAGAACCACTGATGTCCCCTTTAATCCGCTGACACAATCGCCCACATCAAACGGGCAGTCATCGATTGCTTTACTTTACTCGCGCCGACCGTGGGCGGGAGGCTGAGCGCGGCTAGCACAGGTGCCCGGGCCAGCCGACTCCACCGCAGCTCCCGCCTCGCACGCTGCAGGCTGGCCACGCGGGTTCGAAACTAGACGCAGTCTCGGGTCCCCTGCCCACGCAGCCCTTCCCACAGAGGCTAGTGGGGGGACCTGCTTTGAATTTGGATTTGGCAGGGAGTCCTCACCTCCAAGGAAGTGCAGCGGAAAGGAAGGGCGAGAGTAGCTTCTGAGCAGGCCCATGCAAAAGTTCTCCCGGTCCCACCTTAGCCGCCTTGACTACGCTGCGGAGGTCGAGTGAAGATTGCCTTTCGACCCGACCGCGCTATTGAAGGTTACAGACCCCCAAGTTCCAAAGAAACGATTATCGTTGCGTTACTCGCCTGGGTAGGTGCCGAGTCTCGCTTCCGGTGCCCACAGTGTACAGTTCAGAGTCCTAGGACGGCTGGACTAGGGGACCCGGCATCCAGCAGGCCTCCAGTTCCCAGACGCTTGCTTTTTGCTTCCTCTCCCACTCTTTTGCGATTCTCAACCACCCCCCCCAACACACACACACACACACACACACACACACACACACACACACACAGACTCCCTTTCTCTGCTCCGTTCAGCTGCTCATGACTCCGTCTCTGATTATTTGGGGAGTAAATTTTAGAATTTTTATATAAACAGCGCTCTCTACTCTTTCTACCTCTTCCTTTCTTCTTCTTTTTTATCTTGGGGGGGGTGTATTTTTAATCATATCAATTTCGCCTTTTAATGAACCGGGAGACTTGAACATGAATATTAGGGCTGAGGGGTTAAGGCCAGGAGCCCCTGTCACCCCCTGTCCGCCTCTCCATCAGCTGCATACAATGGGCCGCAGCACACAGAGTGCAGTCTCCATTATTAGAGATAGAAGAGCTGTGGGGCACACATAAGAAAGTCTTTATTCTGCTCTTTGAAAAAAAAATGGCCACTAAACGGTAGATTCCAGAGACCACGATCCCCGTAAAGCGTACCGCAAACACGCAGCGCCTTCCACCTCCCGCCCCCCCCCCAAACACACACACATAGTGAGATTTAAAATGGGATCCAATATTAAAAACGAAACCCTACCTCTTCAATACAGCTTGGCCATTACTTCCACCTTTACCTGGGGGCGCTCGGAACGCTTGAGCAGAGATAAACTTTTACGCTCTCACGAGTCAAGGGGTGGGCTGGCAAGAGGGACTCCCACTCCGGGAGGTGGCAGCCGCGGCTTTGTCACCGCCGTTTTGCGCCCGCCTGAGCCTGCCTAGGAGAGCGATCTTAAAACCTGGGGGGTGCTAGTGAGGGATTGGAGACTATGTAACTAATAGAAGTATCGTTTTCGTTTTCCCCCAGTACAATCTTTCAAGGAAAAAAAAAATCCATTGAAAGAATTTTCAAAGTGCTGTCTTCCTTTGGAGAAAAGACACTGGCTGCCTGTAGGGAGGGGAGGAGGGACTCGGTTGCTTGCCGCCTGGGAGCCAGCTCCCGTCCGCTAGGTGGCAGCCGGACCTAGCGATTCCTGCAAGTCCCACGGCGGGACCCGCTCCTCCCGCCTGCCCCTCCTTCTGCAACCAATCACCTTTGGAAATGGGGTCTCAACCGCCCCCCCAAACATACACCACACACACACACACACACACACACACACACACACACACACACACAACTCTGATTCCTTCCTCTTTCTCCTTTTTCTCCTCCTCCTCCTCCTCCTCTTCTTACCCTTTCTTGTCCCCCCCACCCTCTCTCTCTTCCCCGTCTTCTGTTCCTTTGCTCTTTCCCTGTGAGTCCGAGTTGTCAGCACTAACAGCCGCCCCACGACAATATGAGGACTAACTAATGCTTTATTAATAATTATTGAAACACTATTTAGAGTTGGAGCGTCCTGGGGATAAAAATGATGAAGAAGAAAAAACAGGATTGATTGGAAAGTTTATTTTAAGATCATATTTGGGATGAATAGGAACCATCGATTCGGATCGAATTTGTGGCAGTAACTGCAGTTTTGAGAGAGCTTTGTAGTAATTACGCCTCCAAAATTATGATATACTTCAAATTTTTTAAATGAGGAGACTTTTTAATAATATCAAATTAGCAGGATCCAGACTAGGATTATGTTGAATGTGAACGAAGACTCTAGACCCATTATATTTCACAAATCATTAAAATGGTGGTTTCATTCTCATTAATTTTTCTAACGTTTTCAGTGACGCTCATAAAATCTTATTTTAAAAAGTTTTCAGAAGATATAAAATAATTTCTTTCTCATTCTCGTTTTTTTTTTCCCATCGCAACGCATTCTCTCCCTCATCATCCCTTCCCCCTCTGGTGTGTGTGTGTGTGTGTGTGTGTGTGTGACCATACACGACCCATACTAATCAGGTCTCAGAGTAAATAGCAGCGCAGGGCGATCTCAATGTAAATTGTGCTTGTCAGAAGCACACCCCCCTCCCTCACTTTCTCTCCTCCTCCCCTCGATACCCCTTACTGTAGGTAGCTAAGGGGGGAGGGGTAAGGGATTTCCAACCAATGGCGTGCAGGAGGCTTGGCTAACCTTAGCCTCCCATTTTCTCTCCCCCCCATTCAGGGCTCTGACCAGTCAGTCGCCTTTGATTATCAGTTGCCAGCAGCCCTTCTCTTGGCTCCTTGACACGAGCTCCATATAAGGCAGCGATCTCCATAGAAACGTGTCAGTTTCAATAGTAGTGTCAAAGTTCACTATATACAGACATTCGCGCAGATCCCCCTTTCGGAAACATTGCTCTGAGTGTCCTCCCGTTTAAACGCCTTCAATTTTTTGGTCCCTCTCCTCTCCTCTCCTCTCCTCTCCTCTCCTTTCTTCTCTCTCCTCTCTTTGGCCTCTCTCTCTCTCTCTCTCTCTCTCTCTCTCCTCTCTCTCACCCACTCTCCTCTTGCTCCGTCTCTCCCCTTTCTTTTTCTTACATAGTCTACTAGTTGTCCCCCTTTCTCTTTCTCTCCCTCCTCCTTCTCTCTTTCACTCCTTGCCTGCAAAAGAGAGACTAAACTTGAAAAAAAAAGGAGGAGGCACCCCCTGCGTATTCTTCTTATCGTTATTTTATACATATATGATTTTTTTTGGAGGGAGGGTGTTGGTTCTCGGCTGAAGAGCACTTATTTAAAATACTAAAAAAAGAACATTTTTGGGCGATCTCCAGGGTTTTTTTAACTAGCTCTGTGTGTTATAGCAGAAGAAGCAGAAGAAGCAAGAAAGAGGAAAAGAAGAGGATTATTTATTCGACCTACTTTGGATGTCTCTCTCGCTTTCTTTCTTTCGTTTTTTTCTCAAATATTTTCTTCTGATTTTTATTTTTTTCCTATTTCGCTGTGAATTCGTCGCCGGCGTGAATTATCTCGTATTTTTCTCCCCCTTCCGTCTCCTCCCGAAAGAAGAAGGCAGAGAGAACCCGGCGCCACCCGCACAACAAAAAGAGCAAAGTGTGTGATCTTCCTTGCCGGCTGCCTCCCGCTCTCCAGCGCTGCCTTCCTGAATGGCTGGCTGCGTCCGGCCCTGGACCTGGCCCCCCGACACCCGAGCTCCCTGATCGTCGCCTGCATCTTCGCCCCGCATCCTGCTCGGCTCTCCCAGCTCCCGTCACTCTTGAAGCCGGGCGAGGGCTCCCGCCGGGACAGCGGCGGCGGTGCGGGCAGCCCCGGCCTCGGCTCGCACTCGGGCTGCGGCCCCTACTCCAGCTCGGACTCCGGCCCGGGCCCCAGCTCCTCCAGCGGCGATCGCAGCAGCAGCCGAGGCGGCTCCTCCAGCGGCGCCTGCAGCCGCGACCTCCTCCTCTGCAGCCGCCGCCGCCGCCGCCCTCGCCGCTTCCTCTATGTCGGCTCAGCCCGCGCGCTGCGCGTAGCCCGAGCGGCCGGCGGGCGGGCGGGCGGGCGCCCGGCGCGGGTGAGCGAGTGTGTGTGAGTGTGTGTGTGCGCGGGGGTGCGGGCGAGGCGGAGGGCGAGTGTGTGCGCGCGCCGTGGCCCATGCCCGCCGCCCCCGGCGCTGCGCCCCGCGCCGCTCCCGGCTGCCGCCTGTGCCATTTCTGATTTTGCAACTTGGGGAAGAAGAAAAAAGCGAGAGAAGGGAGCTCGCTCGCCGGGGGGTGGGGAGGGGGGAGAAAGAGCGCGGCCCCCCCAGGAACGGAGCGCGGGGGGAGCGGGCGAGGGGAGCAGGGGTGTTGGGGGGGGGGAGCCTGAGAGCCTGGGGGGGCTGCAAAAAGAGAGAAAGAAAACAGCAGGAACCACAACAAAACGCCAGCAGGGCGGGCGGGCGCGCAGCAGCAGCGGGGCGGCCGAGGCAGTAACGGCGGCGGCAGCGGCGGCGGCACAGGCAGAGGCCGGTGCCCGGCTCGGGCTCGGCTCCGGCGACCCCGGGGCGCCCGGTGGGCCCCCCGCCCCCTCCCCCTCCCCCCTTCCCCTTCCCCTTCCCTTCCCAGCGCTCCCGCGCGCCCCGCGGCCCTCGGCGAGCAGCTCGGCTCCCCCCAGCTCTCCCCGGGCCCAAAGATATGGCAATGGTAGTTAGCAGCTGGCGAGATCCGCAGGACGACGTGGCCGGGGGCAACCCCGGCGGCCCCAACCCCGCAGCGCAGGCAGCCCGCGGCGGCGGCGGCGGCGAGCAGCAGCAGGCGGGCTCCGGCGCACCGCACACGCCGCAGACCCCGGGCCAGCCCGGAGCGCCCGCCACCCCCGGCACGGCGGGGGACAAGGGCCAGGGCCCGCCCGGTTCGGGCCAGAGCCAGCAGCACATCGAGTGCGTGGTGTGCGGGGACAAGTCGAGCGGCAAGCACTACGGCCAATTCACCTGCGAGGGCTGCAAAAGTTTCTTCAAGAGGAGCGTCCGCAGGAACTTAACTTACACATGCCGTGCCAACAGGAACTGTCCCATCGACCAGCACCACCGCAACCAGTGCCAATACTGCCGCCTCAAGAAGTGCCTCAAAGTGGGCATGAGGCGGGAAGGTGAATATTTCTTCTCTGCTTCTCTCCCTGAGCTTCGCCCGCCTCCCTGCTCTTTCTTTCTCCCTCACCCGGGTGGTTGTGGCTGTGGGGATGGGGATCCTGTGGTCCCAGCCGGTCCGGGCTTCCCAATCCTGGCTGCTTTCCTCCCCCAACGTCCCCCCCCCCCTTCCAGCTCGCTGCCGCTGCCTCCCCCTCCCGGCCTGCGCTCCTCTCCCCGGCTCCTCCACCCCTCCCGCTGCCTGCTCAGGATTGTGTCCCTGGGATCGTGAGCTGTGGTTTAAAAATCCCCTCCCTTCCTCTGTTGGATGTGCTCCGTGTGTGTCTCGCTCCCGCCTGTGTGTGAGGATGCTTGGGGCTGTGTTGGCATGAACTTGGGCAGGGGTGCTTATTCCTCGCAGAAAACTGTCTCCGTGTTGGTTGTTTTTGTCTTTTCCTTCATTTCACTTTTCCCTCCACCTTCCTGTACCTTTTATGTACAATGGGAGAGGACTGGGGCTGGAGGACCCTGAACCATAGATTCATTGCTGCCATCATCCTTTAGGAAGCTTAGCTTGGAAAAAGAGGAGTGAGATTTATTGCACTTGTAGGTCTAATTAGGGGGAGGGGAGCTTCTGGCCTGTTCACTGGTTCCCTCTCCTCTTCTGGGATCTGGGGCCGCCTCCTCCCGAGCTGTGGCCTTGTTTTCACCCCTCGACTTTGAAAGGAAAGTTTGTGACTGAACCCTGTCTGCATAGTATTGTCATTTTTAGAGCTTGGTACTCGTTTTATTTCTTCATCAAACTCCACCCTCTGCTTAAATACTGCATACAAATTACAATTTACAACGGCATTTACCGATCCTTCTGATTTGGCTATAATGCATAGGCTGCAGCTGGCATGGGCTTTTCTGCATCGTTTAGTCGATGTGCCGTATGGGTTTTTGTTTTTTTTATTAAACACAACTTTTGATGTTGAATTTGGATATGCTTCATGTTCATATGGCTTGAGATGGAGCACTTTTCTTACAAATGTATTTAGCGGTTTATAGTTAAAGTTTATCTCCTGACAATCATTAAGGATATCTTACAGTCAAATTAGTGAACCAGTCAATTTTGCAGGATGTAGATTACTTCTTCTTGTAATTGACTTCAAAATTATATTTTATATGTCACAAGGAAAGAAATTGAATTCCTTCAGATCTCAAGGAGAAGGCAAATATGACGACTTCATTTCTAGCTCCAGGGAGATTCTATAGGCATCTGGGAAGAAGAACAACTTTGAATTGTGTTCTCATTTAATTGAAAAATAACTGCCAAGTTCAAAACTATAATTAGAAAAAGTATTCTAACCATTGTGTTTCAAGAACGTTAAATTGCACTGGAACTCTCCTTGGAATTAGAACCAAAGGCAACAGTGCCCAACCTGAAATAGGAGAGCTCTGTGGACATGGACCATCTCTACTAATTTGTTGTGGGGTGGGAGGGAGAGTTCAGAAGCCCTAACTTTCCCTAAAGTTGGCTTTGTTTACATGGCAGTTCAAAATGCTTGCTCTATCGAAGTAAAACATACACATTTAAAAAAAAAACCCTTTGGTCAGCTTTAAGAACTCAAAGCATGCTTACGTTTTGCATTCAGATGGTTAATGAATCCAGTGTTTTTGCAGTTGCAAGCTCGTGCATTCACTGGGCAAAAGCTGGCTGCAGGTTGCAGTGGCACCGCGCAGGACAGACAGACATTAATTATATTTCCTACTTTTTTCAATAATGTTTGGCTACTGTAAGTTCAACTTTTTCTTGAAATATTTCAAATTTCTGTTGCTTTTAATAGGGAGAGCTTTGTATGGGGCAAGCAGAAGGGGGAAATGGGAGAGGGTGTGGGGAGTGCTTACTCTCTGGTCAAAAGTTGTAAATGGTCAGTAAGATATGTAACTTGTATCTCTTTTTAAAGGTAATTCTGTAGCACTTTAGCGATTATGGGAACATTTTATGCACTGAACGCCGCTGCTTTGCAAGAGAGGAGTGCATTAAGGCTTGTGCCTGGTACTATAGCCTTTTTCAGGCTTCACTTTTTTTAAAACCTCGATTTGTATTATTGTGGAAGGATAAATGGGTTTTCATTTATCTGTGTGTTGCTTCTTAGTAACTGGGGGGTTGGGTGTTACTTTCTTGGCCAAGCAGAGCTAAGGGCCTTGAAGTCAGGCCTAGTTCTTCCGTGGCTGAAGAAGCCAGGGGTGCAGGCTATGGATGAACACACCGAGCCGGTGAAGGTAGAGGGCTTCACCGAGAGCTCCTGGAAATATGGTCTGTGAGAGAGAGCCAGCAGGAGAAGATGCTCCTAGAGCTATGACTGCGGGAAAGAACTGCATTGCGTTGGGTGCGCGTTGCGGCTCGGCAATGTTCACAAGCCCCCTGGATGCACATTGCCTCTTTTCTCTCTTTCTTTTTGTCAGCGGTTCAGCGAGGAAGAATGCCTCCAACCCAGCCCAATCCAGGCCAGTACGCACTCACAAACGGGGACCCCCTCAATGGCCACTGCTACCTGTCCGGCTACATCTCGCTGCTGCTGCGCGCAGAGCCCTACCCCACGTCTCGTTATGGCAGCCAGTGCATGCAGCCCAACAACATCATGGGCATCGAGAACATCTGCGAGCTGGCCGCGCGCCTCCTCTTCAGCGCCGTCGAGTGGGCCCGCAACATCCCCTTCTTCCCGGATCTGCAGATCACCGACCAGGTGTCTCTGCTACGCCTCACCTGGAGCGAGCTGTTCGTGCTCAACGCGGCCCAGTGCTCCATGCCCCTGCACGTGGCGCCGCTGCTGGCTGCTGCCGGCCTCCACGCCTCGCCCATGTCCGCGGACCGCGTCGTGGCCTTCATGGACCACATCCGCATCTTTCAGGAACAGGTGGAGAAGCTCAAGGCGCTGCACGTCGACTCTGCCGAGTACAGCTGCCTCAAAGCCATCGTGCTGTTCACGTCAGGTGAGGATGCGGTCGCGGGGGAGGGCAGGCTGTGCCGGGAGCTGGCGCAGGCACCGTGCGGCGGGAGCCTAGCTTTCCGCATCTCCCGCGCAGCCACTGCCGCTGTGAGGCTCGGCCCTCACCCCACCTTAGGCCTGCCCAGGATATGCAGCCCCAGTCCGTGGTTGTCGCGGACCGCGCCGCTGCCATCTTGGGAGCTTAGCGGTGCTGGAGCGGAGGAGCTCCGGTGAGGCCGGCGGCGGCCTGGCCTGACGACCTAGACCCCCGCGAGCCTTCGACCGAGGCAACGGTCTGGGGAGGGGAGAGGCAATACTCTGAGGATAGTGGCTCCGTGTGTGTGTGTGTGTGTGTGTGTGTGTGTGTGTGTGTGTGTGTGTGGTGTGTGGTGTGTGCCAGAGCTCAGTCTTTCTGGGGGAGGAACGCTACAGAAGGAAGAGAACGTGGGAAGGTGGCTTCCTACTCTGTGTGGCTCTCTCCTTGGATGAGTTTCCCGACAGTGAGACACAGACAGAGGCGGAAAGAGAAGAATACCACAAATAAATCATAAATAATCCCGCTTTATTGCTGCCTGATTTTCCCTTATCGGAAACCATTCATGTTTGCAGTTGCTGGGGTTATTGAGGGTCATAAAAAACGGATTCTATCTAAACAAGAAAGATAAAAAACAAAAGCAATACTGTAAAGCCCGCAAGCATGAGAGGATTCCGGGCCGGGAGATAAATTTCATAGCTATGCAAAACACAAGAACATTGGAAATTTTAAATGATGCCTTAAAAATATCAAATTAAGTGTAGGCGGTGGTAGCAGGCTTGTTAACAATCTCTCTTATGATAGATGGTTCAAATTAACTTCCAGGAAAGTGAATTAACGTTGCTTTTGAAGGGCTCTGGTCTGAGTACGTGAGAACACTACCCGCCTTTTATTATTGGAACCTGCAAGAGGGAAACATATAAACACCAGGGACCGCAGGTAACCGCGGAAGGAAACACAAACAAAGCCCGCAAGGGCTGTGGTGGGCGCAGAGCTGCTTACATGGGCCTTGGGCCCTGCCCACTGCGAGGAAGGTGAGCTGCAGCTTTACCACTGCTCTTGGCACTATTGTTTCTAATTTCTCCATTAGGAGAAGAGTTAAACCATTCTAATAAATCTATCCTAGAGCCAAGCCCTCCAAAGCCAAATTAAAACCATCCTTGAGCAGAGATGGCAAAAATATCTTTCCCAAACAAGGCCTTGTTGAACAGTAAGCAGTCGGATAATATATCAGTATTTCCTGACTTCCATGCATGAAGAATCATATTTACATTGTATCAAAATGACTCTTAAATTTGCACAATATTGTAATGTAGCAAATGTAGTATTAATATCGATCAGAGAAGCAGATAATTTATTTAGACAAGAACAGCTCATTTGTATGCAAGGTGGCCAGAGTCTTGGACTTGGGCTGCTCCCCCACCCCCTTCGCTTTCAGCGCAAATGCAGGTCTGCTAGTGAGAGTGGGTTATTCTTTGCAAGGGGATGAAGTGCAAACTTAAAACAAATGGAAGATTTATTGAACTGGTTCTCAGTGTTTGAATGCATTTTATCTTAATAAGTCTCCTTGATGGAAATGTGTTTTTCAAAAGTGACAAAGAGCCTGGGAAGCAGCGACCAGGATCCTTTGACTCTGGCAGGCCTAGGCCTTGCTGGCATTCTCCTACCCATGGCATTAGCCAAATCCATCAGGAAGAAAGCCAGGGACGAAAAACTAGGGTTTCAAAATCTCACCCAGTTAAGTGTCTTAAAGCAGAAGTGTGACTTGGAGCTAGCTGGACAGGGGTTTTCTCAGGAAAGGTCTCTCTTCCCTTTCCCTGAAGTCCTTGAAGCTCTTTGAATCCCCTCGACTTTGCTGATCTGGTACATGTTCCCAGGGAGAGATCTACGATTGTGCCGGCTTCAGGGAATGTTGCAGAATTATGCAGGCTTCACTTTTAAACTTTCCATCCTAAGAGAAGTTCTTTTTCAAAAAATCCAAAGAAGTATTTTGAGCCATGTTTTCCAGGTGCAAGGGGTGCTGAGGGGTGAACAATAACATTATTTTGCTGGGCAATCACGGGCAGAATATCTAAGCATGGAAACAGAACTGTCAGGAGTAATTTACCCACCTTCCTTCCATACAGCACATTTCCACTCTTGACTAAACTTGTTTTGATTGCTAGCCAGAAGGGAATTCATGGGAAGAAGGGAATTCATGGGAAGCCTCCTCAAAAGTCATCCAACTTTTAAGCAAACTTTGAATGATGGAAAAGACAGTTTTAGACATATTGTCCAATGTGGCTTGTTCTGGCTAAGTATTTGAAGCTGGCATGGGGGTCCCCTGTGGTGGTTTTCACATTTGGCCTCCGGATGGTATGTTTAATCCTTAATATTCTGGACAGCATCCAAAGACTAGGTCATGACCTGAACTTGCTTTTAAGAAAATTCTTTAATTCATATACCTAAATATTCCTTCAAATAAATGAGACTGACTCTGAAAAGAGCCATCTAGTTAACATAAATACAATAAATCCATTTTCAGCACAATAATAACTTTGATTTCTAGTTATGGCAGCTGATTACATCTATATTTCCTGAACACTAAACTCTTCTGAATGCACAACATGAAATACATTCTCTGCACTACAAAGGCTAAGCCGGGAGGGCCTGAGCAGTAATGGTTATTTATTTACATAATTTCTTTTCCATATACTGTAGAAGAAATATTGAAGGTTCCCACATTGACACTACCATATAAAAAGTAAGACGTGGATTTTGTATAGTCTGTCTCCTTTTCTTATCTGTAATATAATTCATCAGGTGCAAATATGTACTAAATTACAGCCTTTGCTCACCTCTCTGTGCCACCACAACCCACCAATTGATTCAAGCACTCACACTGCCTGTCCACAGATGGGAGAATTCTGCTGCAGGGTGAATGAATACTCAGTGTGTGAAGCCGGGCCAGAACTAGGACTCCTGGTGGATGAAAGACAGACCTAGAAATAGGAATTCCGTCTCAAAGGTGGAAGCAGTAGTGCAGGTCCCTAGTATACCTGTCCAGGCTTCTCCTTAGAGTCAACTATACATGAGTGAGGAAGAGACCTTGCACTTTAGGGACTGTGATGTTTTACTCACCTGAGGGCATGTCATATGGATCTTTAAGGGAAAATCTGTTGGGATGTTAATGGATCTTTCTCCTGTTGTGTTGTCTGTGGCTGTGACTATCACATGGCCCGAGGGACAGAAAATGTATGTAATGCAAGATCTGTGTAAATACAAGTCTGTTTTAGCAAGGCTTTTCTAGAAAGCAAGTCCACGGGCAGATCTCAGAGTCCCCACGCTAAGCAGTGAAATCCCAATGTGTTCCTCTCCTGGCCATGCTGACCATAATAATCTCCCTGGCTTCCCAACTCAGGCCAGTGTGGATGTACTGCATCAGCTGGATGGAGTAGTTAGCCATCTGAGAGGAACCCAGTATGGACCCAAGGTTAGAGGAGGCTTGCCTCAGAAGTTCTTGAGTTCTCAGTGGTTTTATTTGTATCTTTGCTTGAGGCCATACCCTTGTAGATGAAGGGAGAAGAGGGCTTTGTGACTCCAGCTCTTGAACTGTAAGGATACACAGCATGGAAATAGTCGACACAGATTTGGATTTGAATAAGTTGTTTTCTTGGGGTCACACTTCCCCATTACAAAGTGTCCTTTTACAAGTATGGTCAAATGTAAATTCCTTCCTAGATCTATATTTTAGCAAACTCCATCTTTGATCCTTAGTCAACCTCCTGACCGACTAAGGGTTCCTCTGTGATCTTCCTGATTTTAAAATATGTGTTTTTAATATTAAGAAATAACATAGGGAGTAGTGGAGAAGCTTCACTCTGTTTCCCTGATTCCATGTTCCTCTCCCTTTGCTTGGCCCTGGTTAGCGGATATAAGGATAATCTGCTGTCTGGACCTAAAAGAGTTTTAGTTGGTTTGAAAGAAGCATAAAGGTTTCTGGTTGCCATCATTGTATGAAGTGCCTTGTCCCATCTCCTTTAGTCCTGCTATGGGAAACCTAGCTCTCCTGCAAAGCGATCCTTAATCCTCCACTCCCCCATTTCTGAGACAGAGTATCAGCTGCCTCTAGCATAACGTTGTGTCTGATCATTGTAGATGTTTCTTTTTCGCAACCTGGAGTAACTGAGCCATATTTCTTCTGGTAATTATATAGCTTGCAGAGATGCAACCAATTTTCATTTACTTGACCTAAGGAACTGATAAGAGTGTCCACCCTCACTGAGGATTTGTTGTCGAGTCCTTGCTTGCATATATAGATGATCTCAAATCCTGTATTGCTATAGCATGGACTTGATCTGATTCTCAGTTCTGACAGCTTGTGATCCCTTAACACCCCCCCCCCCCCGCCATGTGTATTCACTACACAATCTAGGTTCTCCTTGAGCTTGCTGGTTGGGGTCATTTGGGTTTGAGAGGAGACTCCAAGAAGCCTCCTAAAACTGCATCCAAGTCTGCATACTTCTTCCAGGGTTCCAAGAGCCCAAAATCCAGAGGGAAAGGGACAAATGCCTTTCTTTTAATGAGCACAACCAGAAAGGTTTTCCTCTACAGGCAAGAACAGGTTGCTATGCACAGCAAACATGGATTCACCATTCTACATTACGCAAAAACAAAGGGATGGCAAGGTTATGCTTCCGTGTGCATGTGTGTCTCTTTCCCGCTCCCTAGGCATGGGGAGGCTCTTGACTTTTATTTGTGTGGTGGATGGGAAAGAGTATGGCCTAGAAAGGAGACTCTTTGCATAGAAGAAAGGACCGCTTTTCTTTTTCTCCTATTTCTTTTTCCTTTTCTCCTCAAAACATTAATGGCTGTGTGCCTTTACTGCTCACTAACCTAATCGTCTGTCCCCCTTTCCCTGTCTCTCCCTCCTGTGGCTGGTCTGGCAGACGCTTGTGGCCTGTCGGATGCTGCCCACATCGAAAGCCTGCAGGAGAAATCGCAGTGTGCACTGGAGGAATATGTGAGGAGCCAATATCCCAACCAGCCCAGTCGCTTTGGCAAACTGCTGCTGCGATTGCCCTCTCTTCGTACAGTGTCCTCCTCTGTCATCGAGCAGCTCTTCTTCGTCCGCTTGGTAGGTAAAACCCCCATCGAAACTCTCATCCGGGATATGCTGCTGTCTGGGAGCAGTTTCAACTGGCCTTACATGTCCATCCAGTGTTCCTAGACTCTGGGCATTTCCACCTGCTCCTGGCCCCCACCCCCTAGAGACTAAGAGGACTCACCCAGACCAAGGACTCCAAAGCCTTGGGATGCTGGTAGGATGGACCAGACAGGCCAGACAGAGGGGAGGAGGCTGGGGACAAGGGCAGCCAACTCTGCAGCAAGGCAGCCTAAGCTGCGAACTAGGAGGAAAAGAGACTTATTTAGGGTCTGATCTATTATGTAAGTATATTGGAAAGGAAAAAGAAAAAAGGACCTCATGTCTGGTGAGAAAATGGCAACAAATTTTTCGGAGAGAGGACCTTGAGAAATTTAATAAAATCGAAGGATTCTAATGGACCTTCCAGGATTTATTGTGGATGGATGTGGATATATTCTGTACAGAAAACAACTCATATGGGAGCGGACTGAATTCTATGTAGAAACACACACACACTGAACATTGTTATTCATTTTGTAAAATACTAGTCTTTATTTTCATTTTTTGTAAAATTTAAACATCGTATGCACATAAAGAAAAAAGGAACAAGATTAGGGGAAAATAACATTTTCCAAATAATTATAAAAAATGTCCTGTGTCTATGTATCTATATCTGTTTTGTATTTTTTTCTGGTTCCAAACCAGATTTCCTGTGATTCTATACTAATAATTTTTGATATAACCCTTTGCTTCTTACAATGAGTGCGATATATGTTGTCGAGGCTGTTCTTCAAGAATTAAAATTGAAGTGAAAATTTAAACAAAAATAAAAGAATTTAGCAAAACCCATGTGTCTGGTTACTTTAACTATACCATCAGAGAAAGAGAAACCCTTGGATACTTTCTGTCTTCAATATTGTTAGAATCTGGATTTTTGAGAGGGAGAGGGAACTGTTCAGGCCCAGTCGAATTTGGCTGCATCTGTTTCTTACAACAGTCGCTGCATTACTTTTGTAAAGGCTGAAGGAAAGGCCAGGCTGTGTGGGATGTGTCGGAGAGGAGGGCAGGAGTCTCGGTGGCAGACAGCAGTCTTTGAGATATCACTTCAAGGGCAACCCTAAGCACAGCTAGGCAGGCTGCCTTGCCTTTGGGGCACAATTTCCAGGCACTTGGGCCTTACAGACCCCTGCGTGGTGACCCAGTGCTAGTTAGTACACCTAGACTCTAACTGCTTTGGGAAACTTGCAGAGCTGGGGAGGATTTGCAAAGGTTTACTTAGCTGACCCTCAATGGGGGTGAAGAGAGACTCCTCAAAGCTTTTGAGTATGGATGGGTCACTGACTGTCTTAAGCTAGGTGTTGCCTCTCCCTGCCTCTGGGCAAGACCTGAGATGTCAGCACCAGGAATTTTGACTTTGTTCCTTCTTGAGCATCTCTGGAGATCTACATACTTATAGTTTGCCCTTCTCTCCCGGCTCCTGTCCCAGGCTTCCCAGTAAGAACTGTAGCCACCCTTCCACTCCTCCTAACCCCTCCCCCAGGGGACTTCGAAGAGTCCGGAAGCTGGACTGGATTGGGTTCTTCCCGAAAGTGCCTCTCCTTGAGGCGTCTATCTAGCTGGGCGTGCGTTGAGGGGCAAGCTCTGTGACAGCCTTCAGCATCTGAATGTTTTACGGGATCTGAGTTGAAGCTGTGAGAACACATACTGCCAAGGGAGCGCTTCCTTAACGTATTAATAACGCCAGATCTTTAAAAATAAAACCCCTCTTTAGCACGCATTCCGCCACCATTGGCCCAAGGCAGGCTTATATGAAGCTAGAGCTCACTTTCAGGAATTCCCGGTATTCTTGTGCTTTCAGTTTGCTGCATGGAAGTTTCCAGGTTCCTACAATTCTTAGGCGCACCCACCTGCTTGACGTTTTTTCATGATCTGGATGCAGCACAGCCTCTGCGAAGCGCGCGAGGCCACTGGAGGTCAATGGTCTTAAACCAGGCCGCTAGAGGACCACCTAAGCTGCGCAGCAACTAGACAGGCAGGGCATAGAGTCTTTGCGCCTAAATTCATTTTCCTTCGGGTCTGGACACCCGAGGCAGAGGGGGACAGAAAGAAGATCATGTTTAGCCCGGGGAACCCCTAAGAAGTACTGGGAACCCTCACAGACTGGCCAGTGGCTCAAGGGTGGGTGGGCTGCAGCTAGGGCACTGAGGGTCGGGAGCCAAGCTGCCAGGAGAGTTCACCGATCTTTCCTGCCTTCTTGAAATGAGATGTAAATATATTCATTACAATGTGATCCCTCTGATGAAAACAGATAAACATTTTTCGCAGTTCAGAAATGTACTTTTCAATTAATTTCAATATGGAGGCCCATGCACAAGACGCCCAGTGTAGAAAAAGGCAGGCAGCACAGGTCCAAGAGGAACAAGGCACTTCCTCAGGATTCCAGGCTGTCAGCAGAGTCGAAGACTGGGGTCAGCAGGGTGCTCAGGAATCCCAGAGACTTTTGTAGCCTGGGCCCAACCTCCCAGCAATCAAAGTGGAAAGAAGCGCAGGCCTCCCTAGAGGCACCTCCAAGAGCCAGGAAACCTGGAATGGGGGCGGGGGGGGGGATACTTGCCCACTGGCCCATTTGGGAATACTAGCAGTACTTTTTTTCTGCCCGCCTGCAATATACACGGATACAAAGTTGTCTTTCTAGAATCAGAGATCGAGGTCTCTTCTGAAGATAGAGAAGAACTCCATGAGACTCAGGAATCGCTCACCCACGCTAGGCTGCTGAGCTGCTTGAACCCGCAGAGACTTCCCACTTTTGGAGCATAGGACACAGAGACCACACACACACACACACACACACACACACACACACACACACAAATCCGCACACCCTGAGGGAATGTTGAGGAAACAAGACCAAGACACCTAAACTTCTGCTGGATCCTACTACCCAGAAGCATCCTAAGTTTCCTGGCTGGCCTTAGTGGGTGCACATGGGACCAGGACAGCAGCCTCGGGGCTCTCAGCTCCAGGAATACGCTCCAGTAGTAGCCAGACTGCTTGAGTTGAGCATCTTGTGATTTCTCTGGCTCTGGTAGTTTCTGTGGTTGTGGGCCTGAACCCGAAGCCAGGTGGAGCAGGCTCCTTCTGTTTGGGTGGCCTGGGTGGCCCGCTGAAGGGTCTTCTGTGTTGAACTGAACCACTTTCACGCTAGGCGCCAGGGGGAGCCATGGAAGCAAGGTCTGAGTGTCGAGGTCCCTGTATGGCTCAGGAGAAGTAGCACGAACCTGCCCCTCAAAAGTTGGGAAAATGGAGACCCCTCACAACGGAGCATGGGAAAACATGGGTTCTCCAGAGTCAGTGGAAATACGTCTTAACACTGGAGGCAGCACACGTAAAATGACTTTTATCTTCAAATTACCCATTTAGGAAGGATTAATGCTCTTTTCTAACCCAAACACTTGCTGGTACCCGAGAACTTTAGGGACTTTGAAGTAGATTTAAACTACCTTAGCTGAAACTAGTATAAGGCCAACTTTGGGGGCATGTTGCTTTGAGAAATCGCTAGGGAAACCAGGGTGTGCCCTCGCAGCTCCTAGGGCAACCACAGAACATACTCTGTTCTTCCCACACCACTTCTAGCTTGTTATCAGGCTGGGTGAAAGGAAGTCCAGGCAGAAATGTGGATCCTTTCCTGTTCGCCTTGTACTTCTAGACTCTGCCCCTCCTTATAAGGGGCTTGGGGCCTCTGGCAGTAGCATGGCCCAGGGTCCTGGAGATGCTGGGGAGCTGGAACCCAGACCAACGCTCTTTAGGGCTGTGCAAAAAAAATTAAATATGTTTGTTTTTGAAAATGTTCTCTCTCCTTTTATCCATGCATAGGCAATCCTTCTATTCCTCCACTGGCTGACTCATGTCTGGGGTGCTGCCCTGTTACTCAGAACACATCATCTGAATGCTCTGCAAACAGAGAAGCATCAGGATGGGGGAGGGGGTGGGGAGGGGACACAAGTGGGAATTAATAAAACTCTTGTTAAAGAGCTTGTTTGGACTCTGTGGCATCACTGGGCTTTTTACTCTGGAAGCCAAAGAGTCCTATTCCTAAATGAGTTAAAGTCCCATTTACCTCTGTCGCGTTCTATTCATCAAGCCACAAGTTGAGAGTTCCTAACATGAAACTATTTGTTTGCTTACACAACCAGCTGGGCGCAATTTCACGTCTGAGATATCTATCTGAAAGCGCCCCTCATTTATTATCTCTTCTTGTCAGGGAATCCATTTTCCAACTCCCCCTCCCCCTCCAGAATTTGTTTATTTATTTATTTAGCTTCAGACTTCTTTGCTTCGGAAGACCCTCTCCCCCGGGAGCAGCCCCTGTCTCCTTCGGGCTCAGGGCCTGCTACACCCAAGATCTTGGAGTGGAGAATAATAGCGGTATGCTGTGATTGTTGCTGTGACCCCCAGCTGACTCACCCCAGGGCTGGGGTGGGTCTGTAGGGCAGACCCAAAGTGGATGGGGCTGCCTTTTTTCGTGAACGTTCTCCCTGCTAACTCTCCCCAAGAAAGCTTCAAACACCTGTGCAAGGTTCAGAGGTAGGCAGAGGGCACGGAAGTAAAACCTGGAGTCTTCTCTAGAGATTAGGGTTTGAGATTTGGATTTGAGAGATGCTTTGACAAAGTTTTACCTACTTCCTTGTGGCCAATTTCTTCTTCTGGGGCCAGATCGCAGAGCGAGTAACCAAGATGTAAATAGTAAGCATGATGGGTTGGGGGAGGGGGCAATGCATTTACTGTGTGTGCAGAGGGAAAAGACAGCACGTGGTTTCAATTTCGAAGCACAAAGAAATAACATGCAATGCAGAAAATAGGTTTATGAATGTAATTGAGAGGAAAGAAAACAATTAACACCGTGGAAGGTTGCACATCAGACTCCCCACCCCTTGTTTTCCCTTCTATCTGAATTTGAGAAGTCCAGATCACGTAGACTAGAGTGGATCTAGGCAGTGGGATTCTGCTGACAAGAGAACCCCCCTCCCCTCAGTGACAGCTAAATAATGATTTCTATACATCTTCAGAACAGCTAAGACCTCTTCTAACCAAGCTCAAAGCTTGGGATCAAATCCTTAAGTCTAGCCTATAAAATAGCCCCAATTCTGAAGAATGAAAAGAGGAGGAGGAGGGAGAGACAGAGAGACAGACAGACAGAGAGAGACAGAGAGAGACAGACAGAGAGACAGAGAGAGAGAGAGAGAGAGAGAGAGAGAGAGAGAGAGAGAGATTTCTCTAAGAAAGAACAGGCTAATCTCTGCACGCCATCCTACTGTGTTGATTTAGGAAGACATTTGCTGTATATAACGTTTAAGGCTGATAATATAATTGAACAGTCAGATAAATAAAGCTTTGGCCCAATAGTGGGGTCAGCGATCGTCGATCTCTGGGCTCAGAGAAAAAAGGCGAGACAAGGTCGGGCAGGATGTTCTGTCTGTGCGCCTGTCAGCCAGCACGCAGGACCCAAATGTGTAGGAGTGTGTGCTGGGTGCTGTGCGAAAGCCAGAACCTAGTCTTGAGCAGGCCAAGAGGCTCATTAGCATTCCTAACCCATGAACCTGCGCTGACAACTAACAGAGACATCCTTACACCACCAGCCCTTCTTTCCTTTTGTCTTCAGATCTGGAAGATGGAAGAGAAAAAGATTTTTCAGTGGAAATTGGAGTCTGAACTTCTCTGTGATTGTTGGATATTCAGTGTGTGTGTGTGTGTGTGTGTGTGTGTGTGTGTGTGTGCATTTGCGCATGTGTATGTGAGTATTTCGAGAGAGGCCTACCAGCATTTTGCACCATCTTTCAGCTTGCTTTTAATAAGTTCCT